ACTGGGTCATTCTAACATATTAATATGCTTTACTCTAAACCGTTCCATTGTATCTCTGGCAATATGTTTCTGATCATTTTCCTGCTGGTAGGTGAACCTCTACCACAGTCTTAAGTCTTGACTGTACCAGGTTTCTTCGAGGATTGCGCTGTATTTGGCGCCATCCAGTTTCCTATTAACTCTGTCCAGCTGTAGAAAAGCATCCTCATAGCGTGATACTGTCACCAACCATTTTTCACGGTGGGGATGCTGTGCTCAGGGTAATGTGCGGCGTTATGTTTCTACCGCAGCACTTTGCATTAAGGTAAAAAATCAAGTAGGTTTTATATCGGGTAGAATTACTAATTTTTCAAATCAGACTTGTCCTACAATTGTTGAAGCCCAGTCAGTCTAATTAATTTCTAACTATTAGCATATGGCAGCAACAGTCAAATGTTTGAACATATCACTTCATCGTAAGTGATATTATTGTGTTTGGCATCACAGAGTGGGGCGAAAAATCCTCTTTGGAAACTGATGTCAGTCATAGAATTAACTGATGATACATTCCCTTTTTATTGTTAGATCATGGCGGTACTCAAAGAAAAACAAATATGGCTTCCCAGGCATAAGCGCAGAATTATACGACTACAATGATCGAAACAGCTACATTGGCTCCTTGAGAAGGCGTTCATGGGGAAAAAAACGCCCAAAAGGTGTTGGTCATATACCATTAGGTAAATCTCTTCGTGTAAGTTTCAAGAATTGCCATTATTTAGGCATTTCAGCAGTGAAGGTTTCGGTGAAAATCCTCTATAAAAGCAAACGCTTTCATGTTTGATCCGCACTTATAGAAATGTTAGATTAAATGATTTCTCGATCAAATTCTTGTCAGTTAAAGTCTGTCGAATCTGATCCGTTGTCACAATCCTAAGTAAGGTCAATCTGACACAGCAGGAAAGATAATGTTGCTTCGTAGTAATATAAAGGGTTTACGTGAAAGCTCTATAAAAACATTTTTTTCTCATAAATGTAGTTAGTTAAAAAAAGTAATAGAATAACATTCTTAACTGTAAAAAAAATTTTCACATTCCTTCAAACATTTTTTCTATCATCTTTGAAACATTTTATATTATTATCACTAATTATACACATTTTAATCGGGTTTAGGGGTGCTTGGACATAGTGTTATGGTTTGTAAACTTGTCTCGCTAGATCAATCGTGATTGAGCAGTGAGTGCCCAATACTTTTGACATTGTGCCACAACTTAGTAAATCACTGAGGCACCTCGATGTGGTGTAATGGTTAGTGTTGAAACTTGACGAATGCATGGAATAATAATACAACATAAAATGTACTTAGAACAAAATGTATTGAAACAAGAAAGGTACACAATATTTACATATAGTCTTTTGTATATTCTTGGGAAAACCGTTCCTGGAGAATGTGTTGACTTAGTCGCAGTCGGGCAGAGTCTCTGGATTGAATCTCTTGATTCCTCCCCTCGTTTTCCCGGTACCAACCATATTTATATGGTCGGTACTCCACTGTGCAAATTAGGTGGATCCTACCACAACAGTTAGCAAGTTTGTATCGCTAGAACAAATACGAGTGAGTAATGAGCTCGATCGCCTTGTGCCGCATTTAAGTTACGCTTAGAAAATCACCACATGTTAATTGGATTTCATATTGTTAGATGCATAAGAGACAGAAGGGACATTTATGTTTTTGAGGAAATCTCCGTCCCTCGAGATGTGTTACTATAGTATGATATCTAACGTCCATTTTCTACGATAGTATTATATCTACTATTCATTTTCTACTATGGTATTATATTGATATGAAATATGTTAGGGTTAAGGTTAGAAATTTGGGTTAGGGTTAAAGGTAGTGAACAGTGAACTGGTTATGTATTAAAAATCATTAACAATTATTTATATAAAAAAAAAAATCATCAAATAGTTATTTTAATGCTTGTAAACTGATTTTATTTCACCTAAAAAACAGTTCAACGGTTCATCGTTTTCCTGTGCTTTTTCCAGCAATCGTCATTTACGACAGGTCGCAAAGGCCTCAGTAGATATCATACTATAGTAGTACCTATCGAGCTTAATAAAATCATCCCCTGTATTAATTTCACAATTAAATGATTTTCTGATTCAACTAATTATTAATAACTTCTTGTAGTAGACACATTTTTTATATTAATATTAATATTACAAAAATTATATTAATAATAATATTAATATATTATAATATATAATATTCTTATTTATGTAATATATTATAATATAAAATATATTATATTATATATTATTATTAATATATTATAATAATTATATTAATGTTCATCCACTACAGGGCCCAAGAATCACTCAACTTAGATTGTATGATGTTGGATGAGCGTAAGAGAAGGCAAAAAATGCAGTTTACGAGGTTATGTAGAAAAAATAATGGTTAACCCTAGACATTAAGAGGTTAAAATTATTGTGATCGGGAAAACATTCTACCGAGAGTCTGTTTGACAAAGCAGCAGTTCTTGGAAAGAAGTTGCTCGAATGGAACTACATTCTTATTAATTGAATACGAAAAGAAGGAGGATGATTCACCACAGTGTATGTTGTAGCACACCTACGGACGACAATGGTTATCGTCTCGGGAAACAGCTACCCGACCACGTTCCATATGTGGTCTACGGGGAATTTTTGGCCGAGCCTACGGACTCGGAAACCTCACATTAAATTCGGCCTTGTGCCACATCTGACTGCGTGGGTAATAGATACCGTCTGCAGTTGGAGATTCATTGTGGAATTCACTTGACTCACTTCTAGCAGCTGACTACTTTTACGCGCCGCTGGCAAATCTTATATGTGCCTATTCGTGTCCTAAGTATTATCGTTCATTATCAACCTTCGTGTGATTATACTATGTATTAACCTTCCCTAGGTTACAACAGTGTACATGGCGTGACGGTCTCCAGATTCAAAAATTAGGACTAGTAGACCCAAGGAATGGAATTCAACAGAACATTTGTCATTGAATTAGCGGTAGAGCCTCGAGAGACTAGCAACGTTTCGTCTTTAGGAAAGGAGTTGTAGGATGGAAAATGATTCATTAGCGTCTAGAGGTTTTTGAACTCTGTCAAGACAGGCAAGGGAGGTTTGGGGAGCTCTAGTCTAGATATGACAGCAATTCTCCATTTTTGGTCTGATCTCGCTCTTATAGAGATAGAATATACAGGGGGAGTAAGACACTTGCTGGAGCGGTACAAAGAACAAAATATTTTCGCAGAATCTTTAGAAATGGATCTGATTCAAAATGGGATATGCTGCTTAATCTTATAATCTAATGTAATATAAGATCTTTTGAAGATAATAATTATTTTTCTGATACATGTCCTGCTAATTACCTTGTAGCCGAGGGAGAAGAGAAGGGTTGGATTAATTAGCCACAAAACCGAGTAAATGTTTTTAAACTCTATCAAGACATGCAAGGGAAGATTAAGCAGCTCCAGTCTAGATATGACTGCACTACTCCATTTTTGTTCTGATTTAGCTCTTGCAAAAAAAGAGTATATCAGGGGAGTTGGGGTCAGATACTTACTGGAACGGCACAGAGAATAAACAATTGTTCCAGGATCTCATATATTAATTCCATGAGATCTGGGACAACATTGAGTTCCAATAGGCGACCAAGACAAGGAGCCTCCTTGAGAGAACATTCATCTATCATGATGGGTGTAATTTCAGGGTATAGTCGATGATCACGGAACGTTATTCGTTTGGTCTTGGATGTATTGGATTTTACAAGCCAGTTCCCCAAATTGGAAACCAGGTTCTAGTCATTCAGATGGTGTTTGGAGGTGAATCTATAAACTGTTCTGTCATCTCCATAGATCGGAATTTATCTCTATATTGTTTGGTTTGGTTTGTTTTACCGCATATCAAACACAATGAGTTATTTAATACCGACAATTTTTATTGGCGGTAATATTTTTTTTCAAAAAGTGTATTGTTGGTAATATTTTTTTCCTTCGAAAATCTGTTTCTGGTAAAATTTTGTTCTTCGTAATGTATCGCTGGTGATATCTTTTTCGAAAAATGTATCGCTGGTAATATTTTTTTCGAAAAATGTATCGCTGGTAATTTTTTTTTCAAAAATGTATAGTTTGCTTTGTTTTGTTTTATGGTATTTCAACTTCAATGGGTTATTTCATACTGACAAGATTTTTATTGCTGGTAATATATTTTCCTCAAAAATGTATAGCTGATAATTTTTCAAAAATGTATTGCTGGTAATAATTTTTATTGAAACAATTATTACTGGTAATAATTTTTTACAAAGTATTTCTGGTATTAAGACCTATTTTTATACTTTCAAAGTGTTTTAACTCCAATTTGGGGATTAACTATTAACCCATAACTGGGACCCTAACTGGTGCTCTCACTCCGCGTCAGGGTGGATCTGAGATTACCACCAATTAAGAGGTGGTTCCACACTCCTCAAAACCTCAGAGGCCTTGCTGTTGGACGTAGTTTATCGTTTTACTCAAGACGCCGATGTAGTTTATCGTCATACCCAAGACGGGATCTCTATATGAACCATAATGCTGATTTCTCACTTTCAAGACAAACAAGATCTGTTTACTTTCAGAACTAGAGTAACACAATCTTCCTCCTTCAATTTGGTCTTTTGTAGAGAGGAGCTAAATTAAACAAATGCATAGCTCTTGCAATTTCATACTGATTGACTGATTCTAAGGCTTATCAACTCTTTATACGTTATTTAAAACTAGAAAATATTTTTAGATTCTAAGAGTTTTCTATTTGGGAGATAATAATAGTTTACTGATGAATGTCTTAGTAATTAACCCATAGCTTGGGGGGAGAAGAAATGGATTCATACATTTTCCAAATGTATTGGCGCGTAATTGAATATAAAGAACCAAACTGAAATTTGAACTCGGCTCGCTGATTAACAATTCCCAACCCTTATCCATTACACCACAGGCTCATCCACGCTGACAGCATCTAGTATTCTAAAGAGTTTACCCATCCAGGTACTGACCAGTCTTGACGTTGCTTAACTTCGATGATCGTACGGGAACTGGTGTTTCAACGTGGTGTGGTCATAAGCTCCCGAAATTGCACCCATCACAATCTATAAATTTAATAATTATTGCATTTTGCCAACCCCCAGCATCACAAAACCAGCGAATATTTTGTATCCTCCTTATAGTTTTGAACTTTGAATTCTCGTAATTTTATTTGGCGCTTTCACAGAGAAAACAGATTTATGTGTGCTATGCCATTTCTGTTACCGTCTCAGAAGTACTCTAAAAGAAACCGGCTTCAAGTCTGAATATTAATCATTTATTTTGTTACTCACAAGGAAGGAAATTATTCATGACAGAAAGTCTACTCCCAAATAAGTTTACGCTTTTAAAAAGTTTTCCGCATTAACCTTTTTAAACTTTTCTATCGCAACCCACTTGCACTGGTCGATGACTTTACAAGTAAATACATAGACTAAGAGATTTTGCATAAACATTATTAGATACCACTATAAATATCTATCTATTTTATATTTTTTATCGTAGTTCACGCGCTAAAATAATATAAGACATCGTGGATGTAATCGTCATATAATCGAGTGAGTGTTGTGGATTCCGGGATGAAATCCGGTACCAAATAAATAACAAACGCCAAGAAGGAATATAGGAAAATAATGTATTAATGTAATAATACAAACTGGTAATGCAGGTTAGTAGTTCCAGGAATGCAGGTTAGTAGCAAAATATATATATACAGTCTTTGGTATCGACGTATCACTGAGTCTACGCGCATGCTCACTCTGACTTTTGCTCGTTACGTTCCTTCTGGTTCGTGTTCGTTAGTCCTTCTTTCTCGTTCGCTCACTCGGGTATTCACTAGTAGTAGTATATGTATACCCTGGGTGGGTCCATTTGTGTAAAAAGGGGAAAACCTCTCAACAGTGAGTCTCTCAACTTTATACAAATCCTCTATGTACAAGTCCTGTAAACTAACCAGTGATGGCGATTTCATACAGACGCCATATTGAAATAGCTAAATACATTCCCTATCATTATCATAATTTTAAATAATATAAGAAGGGTTTATTATAATAATTTCTTTCGTTCCCTGTGAAACATTTTAACGCCGCATCCGAGAACGTTCTAATAGTAGGTGTCTCCATGGGAATTTGGATTCGCAAGCGGTTTTCAGCGTCATGTATATACACTTTTAGGATAGTGCTATCCGGTTTGAATTCAGGGCTTCCTTCTCATAGATTTGTTGCCATTCAAGGTTATAAGACCCAGTGTGTTCTGCTATTTTACACATAGCTGGGGGAGAAAAGAGATGGATTTATACTTTTCTCACGGGTATTAGCATATAAGTACATGTAATGAACTTGACTGGAATTCGAACTCGGTTCTCCGATTCCTCAATCCTAGCCTTTCTTTTTTCTTTTTATTTGCTGTGTCCTTTCAGGACGTAGGCGATCATGGCTCTCCATTTCCCCCTATCTCTCAATAAGTTTCGTCCCTTTTCTACTTTTCCCAGGCCATGTTCTGTCACCTACTTGCTTAAGCCTGCCAGGTATGTCATCGTTGTTTTCCCTTGTCTCTTTTTCCCTCTATTCGACCTGTTTCTCTCACTTTCTCATTATGTGTCCCAGAAACGTCAGCTGTCTTTACCTGATATTAAGTATAAGCCTCCTCCTTGTTTCAATCATCTCCAAGACCTCATCGTTGCTCACACGCTCGATCCATATCCTCAGCATCCTTCTGTAGAACCACACCTCCGCCTCCTCGAGTTTCTTCTTCATCCTTGAGGAGACCGTCCAACATTAGCTGCTGTAAATGAGGACAGATGTCACGTAACAGCTTGGTACTCTTTTCTTTGTTAGCAAAGAGATACCCCTGTCTCGCAATACTCTGCCCAGCTTTTAGAATGCGTCCTTGGCCATCCCAATACGTCTACGGATCTCATTGTCGTACTTGCCGTCCTCTGTCAAAACACTTCCCAGATATTTAAACATCCGCATCTACTTGATTTTAGTGTCCCCAATCTGCAAATCGAATTTCGGGTTCATCCTTTTACTGATGACCATGCATTGTGTCTTCTTGTTTATGCTTAGTCCCTTCTTCTCGCTCTTCTTTGTTACCCTCTGTAAGAGGTTTTGTAACTTATTTTCCGTCTTTGCTATCAGTACTATGTCATCTGCGTATCTTCTGTTGTTAAGATTGTGGCCACTGATGCTGAATCCCAGTAAGATTTCCAATTCTCTCAGAATTGCCTCGCTGTATAGGTTGAATAAGCCCGGTGAAAAGACACATACTTGCCTTACGCCCCTTTCTATTTTTGTATATATTCTGACCTCGTTCTCTTTGCGCATGCATGCTGTTTGCTACCAGTATAGGTTCTTGATTATTCTGATATATTTCCCGAATATATCAAGGTTGCTGAGCAGTTCCAACAGATCCTTGTGGCGTACTCTGTCGAAGGCCTTTGCGTAGTCTATGAAACATAGGTACACGTCCTTCTGCATTTGTATTGCTCTTCCTGATAACATTCTGAGCATGAATATCGCATTTCTTGTTCCAGTTACTTCAACACACCCGCACTGTTCTTATCCTATCTCTGACCTGATTCTCCTGCGCACTCTTACTTTCTTATAATAACCAAAGATTTCCCAACAATATGCCGTCGTTTATAGTGAAGTTGCGAATATAAAATCAAACAAAAATGCATCGCTGTTTCTCGTGGAAAAATGCATCACTATTTCTTGCGGAAATGACCTCTTGCAGAACCTTAGGGTTTCAGGGGATACCGTTTGAGAAGCACTGATATAGGCATTGTTTTTAGATTCTCGTCAATAGTGTAAATAATGGTGTGCTTAGCGGTCGCAAAAATTTAATTATTTTAGAGTTTATTTATAGATGACTTAACGGCTTCAAGTAAACATAAAATATTCAGACACTTTAGAAGATAACACTTGTTCGAGAATAACAAGGAAGATAAGAAAGAAAGAAAGAAAGAAAGAAAGAAAGAAAGAAAGAAAGGATATTGGGACTTTCTCTACATTTTCTTGAAGAGATAATACGAGGTTTGTCTGTAAAGTAACGGGACTGGGTGTGCTGTGTGAGCTAATGGGATCGTCTATAGTGAGTTTTTACCACAGGGCCAGACGATCAATCAGCAAATCTACAAAGAAATCTTTCGGCGTTTGCTTCACTCACTGCGCGAGAACAGACGAGAGTTGTGTCAGAACGAAACGTAACTGCTTCACAATGACAATGCATCTTCTCACAACGCCCTGAGGATCCGGCAGTCCCTGGTCGAGATGAAAAACCTCCTTATTCACCTGATCTCGCTCCGTGTGACCAATCTCAAAGGGATCATCAGGAGGACCCGTTTTGAAGGCTTGGAAGCCATCGAGGGGGGGGCTGTAATAACGGAACTGAGGGGCATCCAAGAAGAATCTTCCTAGCCGTGTAGAGAAGCACGACAGAGAAGGATTGAAAAGGGCATTAGAATTGAGGGGGATTACTTTGAAGGGGGGAGACCATGTAGTTTGTCGTTTGGAATTGAAATAAATTGTTTGTGACACCAGTCTCGTTACTTTTCAGACAGACCTCTTATATACAAATGATATATCGATAGGGATGCTGGGTTAACAAGTAAAACAACAGCTAAAAAGGAAGAAGCGTGTGTGTGAATATGTGCGTGTACTTGTTAGGAACTGGTAAAGCAAATATGGGAATAGCGAGAATAAAAATGAGTACATGCGATATAGACGACCATAATGTCTTTTTCCAAAATCCGCTGCAATCTATAGCCACGGCGTTTTATCATTTATTAAACGTTTGTTCAAAGACAAAGCTAAAATGAGTTTAAGAAACCTGTACAAAATGGATTCGTTGATTTGCACATCATACAAAACACATTTTTTTTATCATACAATACATAGATAAACCTACATCATTATTTTCTATATTCTACATTCTAGTTGTACTGTTGCAAAAGTAACTGATCCTCTTGTATTCCATTACCCACATACCCCCACACAACTGGCGCCATTTTTTCTAAAACTCTTTGCTTTCCAGCTAGAAAGAGCATTCAAATCGGACGCAAATCTACAAAAAACATTTTCTTAAATGAAAGATACACTTAAGCTACGAACATTGTTTTTTTTAAGGGAAAATGGGAAGAAAAAAGTACACTTATACTTAACACCAGGAAGAGACACGTGAAATTTCTAGGGCACGTAATAAGGAAAGAGGGGTTGGAAAATATGATACTCACAGGACAGATTAAAGGCAAGCAGGACATAGGAATACAAAGCATAAGCTACGTAGCGAGCTTGAGTAAATGGATGGCGGAACAAGATTTAGGATTAAAAAACATAAAAATTATTAAGAGCTACAAAAAAGCAGGAAATTGTGGAGAGCCATGATATCCAATGACTTGAAGGGAAACAGCAAGTTTTAGATCACATCTCAGAACTAGAGTTAACTTCGCCGAACTGTTTTTTAGCAAGATGGAGAACCTCCCCCATTATGCTGTAATGGCAGTGGCTGAGGGTCAGTCGAATCGAGAAAAGAGAACTTTGACCACAGTTTCATATTAAGGCATAAGTCTTTTTTTTCTGAAGCACAGAATTAGCACATGCCTGCACGACGCGAGTAAACTGGCCGATGTATCCTCATCTTGAGGCATATTGGTTTAAAACCTTTGGTAAATTCCCAACAGAAATTGAACCCCGCGTGGACGGTAGAGCCAAGGACCAATGAAAATAAAAATAAAAACAAATAACATGGCAAACTCAAACAAAAACACAAAAGGAATCTCTCTGCAGAAATAGAAAACGGAAGTGAAATTCATTGAATCTCTAGAGGAAACTCTTCTGACCAGTCTGTCTCCATTCTTAATAACAAATAAATAAATAAATAAATAAAAAATACGAACAGGTCAAATCCTCGAACAGTGAAAATAAAATAAATGGGAAGTGGCAATCTACTTGAAAATGTGAACAATAAGAAACACGCTAACTTAAAATGAAATCTTTCAATTTAAAATGTAAAGCTTAACTACACAAAAGACTTAACAC